TTTGCTTCAATTTTTTTCAGCTACCCTGACTTTGTTTTTTATTTCACGATTCAACTGACGATATGCTGGTGTCTTTGTGTCAATGGTCTTTTTGCAGGTGTCTTTCCATCAAGTTGAGGATTTCATCAGTAATCCAAGCATTTTCCTGACCCTAGTGTTACTGGACAATTTCGAGCTGACGCGAATAGGGAAGCTTCTGTTCTTCAGCTTCACTTCTTGATTCTCTGCCCTGTTTATTAGGTTTACGCTAAGTGTGGCTTGAACCCTTTTCTGATTCGCCTTGCCCCACCATACTACAGGGTCATAGGTTATCATCGGTCTGATAACCATGGTGTAGATCCAGTGAATCTGTTTTGGATTTGTTCCCCAGGTCTTTCCACAGATCCTGTGTCAGTTTCAAAGCAATAATTTTGCCTTTTGGCTTAGTCTTTACAAATGAGCTTTCCAGTTTAGAGTCTTATTCAGGATGACTCCCCAATATTTTGCTTCAATGGTACTAATTCTCCCCGAATAGTTAGGGGTACCAAGTTATCAATTTTTTTTTTTCCTGGTGAAGGGTACAATGACCATTTTGTGGGGATTGATTGTCATTTTGTCTCTTTCGCACCAATCAAGCACGCAATCTAGCACCTCTTGGAGTGCAGCTGATACCCTTGTCTCAGAACTACCCTTGGCTATTATAACTAGATCGTCCGCATATGCTTGAACCTGGACCCCCCACAGTTGTATCACGGCTAGCAGGTCATCCACCAGAAGTGACCACAGAAGCGGAGAGAGTACCCATCCCTGCGGGCAGCACCTGGCGGCCCTGAACCTGACCCTTTCCCCCTTAAAAGAAGTCGTTATCCACTCTACCGTTCAGCATGGTCCTACTCCAGTTACAAATTAGCGGGTCGATGCCTCTAGATGTTGTTTCCTCGTAAAGAGAGCTTGACATCGCATTGTTGAAAGCCAAGAAGGCAGCAAGTGCAATGCCGTACGTTCCAGAAAGCCGTCTATGCTAGCGACCAGGGTACTAAGAGCCAGCTCTGTGGACTTTCCTGCCTGATACGCGTATTGATGGGTACTGAGGGGATAAGTCCTGAGCGTCTTCCCCTTAATCTACTCATCCAGCACCTTTTCTAATGTTTTCAGAAGGAACGATGTCAGACTTATTGGTCTGAATGATTAGGGTGTGGGTTCTTTGCGCCCCGCTTTAGGGATATAGATCACCTTGGTAGCTGTCCAGCTTATATGGTTCCACACCAGACTGGCTCTGAAGAGTCTCGAATGGAAGCAAGATCCCAAGTTCGTTCTGTAGTAGAGCAGGAGAAATGCCGCCTTCCCCAGGCGATTTAAAAAGGTGGAATGATAGGACCGCTCCCTTTACAGCCGTTGCTGTAATTATTTTGTTGGCTATCAACCAGTCTTCTCTTGCAGGTCGTTTATTCCGATCACTGAGTTGGGCATCCTGTGCTGGGACTCTGTAACGAATGGAAATGTTTTCTATATCTCTATTGACGTGTCCTCTCTATTGATTTTGGCAAGAGAGAAGAAGACATCAAGCGCCATAGCGATAGGGATAACGATCTGTATTCATTACGGAGTTCCACTGGAGACCATTCATCAGCAGACTTCCTGCGAGAATCTGTAACGTTTCTTTTCTAGATTGTGTGTAGGATCCATCTGGGCATTTTATCGTCCCTAACACCTGCACAGGCTTCTTTTGACAGGATCTTGTGGAATCGCGCGCTACTAGGCACATATATTATGCCTTCGCATAGCTTCCCCCATGATTCTGTTTTTGCCTTTCTTATTGCTTTATTGTAATTCGTTAGAGCAGCTCTAAGACAGAACCTTTGTTCTCATGAGAACGCTGCTCCCCTGTCTCGAGAATAAAGACGTACCCAGGTGTAAAGACATCTTCGTAGAAGTTAAAAAAGTGTTTGGGACGACAGGATTCATTTCCTGACAAACTCTGAACAGTCGGTCACCACGTTCGTTCGCAATACCCATAGTCCGTATCTGGCAACTAGATATTATGTCATCCCTTACTCCACTGCCAATCTTCACATTGAAGTCGCCCATAATAATTGCAATTTCTGACTTCTTAGTCAGATCTAAAGCGCTTTGAAGTTTTCCGTAAAAGATTTCAACAGCTTGGGTAATCGCAGGTTGGTGCATATTTCTGGATAATGTTCATATTGTATAGTTCGGAATTGAGTTTGAGGAATGCTACTCTATCGGAAATCGGGAGAAAATATTTCACAGTTCTATGTATTTCCATGTTTACTATGAAGGAAACGCCGTTGTAGTGACTTTGGTGGTCGTTACCAGAATCATAAACATGATGTGTGAGCTTTCAATGAATAAACGAAACAATTTTCTCGTTAAATAACAGCAAGTTTATTAACTCAAAATGAAAATTAACACACTTTTTACAAGCTTCTTTCGAGTCTTTCCTTGTTCACAAAATCAATACAATACGTCACGTTTTCTAGATGTCAACCCAAAGACAGACAGACACTTGACATACGTAACAACATAACCTAATTCTATATATATTTTAAGCGAATCCTAAAAGTTACTACTTAAACTTGTTCACGATGAGTTTGAAGCATTGGGTGTCATTATAACACTAAATTTGAATAATTTTATAAACAAAAAAAGATGTAAGGAAAAATCGAAAAATGTTGCCAGGAATGAGCATTGTGCGAAATTAAAACTGGAAAATCCACAGGTTGCTGATAGATTGGTAATCGATGAAAGATTTTAAAATGAAAGGAAGTTCAGGTCCCATGCGTAGTGCAACAAAACCGTCTTGATTTAACCGGTCGCGTCAAACGAAAAACCGCGGGTCTTTTTTCTTGAACCACACGAAGCGGGCGAAGGGTTTTTGGCAACTGGTACTACTTGTCGGCAGTCGGCAGTAAGTGTAAGGACTTTGCAGGTACCTTTTTTTCAGTTTTTAACGCGCGCATTCTCAAAAGCCAAATTTAGCAAAGCCGTATCATTCTTAGGCATAGAGCACGCGCAATTCAATTAGAATAAGAGAAAACAAAAAATAAAGAAAAACTAATCAATTTCCATATCCAAATAGGATTTAACATCCTAAATACCCAATTTAACCTCCTAAATACCCAATTTAACCTCCTAAATACCCAATTTAACCTACAACTTTATACAGGGCGCGTAGACGAACAAGCAAAATAATTATTCAGGTATGCCTAGAAAAAATACCGCACTTCCTATATCACCCTGTATAAAGAAAAATCACTCAACTTCTATATTTTTTGTATGAAGCAGATGATTGACAAGGAATTACTTTCAAAAATGGTGAAAACGGTATATTTTTCCGGTAATTTATTAAAAAGTTGTCGCGTCTCAGAAATTGTTGAAATTTATGATTGGAACGAACCTATTGTTGAGTAGTTTATATTACTTGAGGCCGTTCTTTTTATGATTTCTAAATACTCCGACCAAACACTATGAATATTGCTGCTGCCCAATATAAATGTTTCTTTATATTGTTCCTAAAGACAGGGTTGCCACTTCTACTGTTAAAGCCGTTTCAAACCTGGGCCTTTCCTGTCTTCCCCGCCGTTGTAGTATTCGTCCGTACCCTGGACTGGGACCCTGAACAGGTGCTAGCCTTTCGGATCAGAAGGCACCTGGAGTCTGCGGTCGGCAGGGATGACTCATTGTCCCTGATAGGACGTACCTACTTGCTGTCAGAGTTTCCGCTTCCTACTACAATATATCTGTTAACCCCGATAATCAAGGAAATGATGACATCTTCAGTTGAACAGTTTAACAAATAATTGGATTTCTTAGAAATAGCGGGAGTAGATGTCAACGTATCGAAATATCGCGAGTTCATAGTGGAACAAAAACTCTTTAAACAATCAGGTAGAGCGAACAAAAGGCAGGCATCAGTCCAGATAGTCTAGATCTGAGTCTAAAGTCGAAAGTAAACGCTCATCACTTTGAAAAGTGAAGAAGTCGTGGAAGAAAAAAAAATTAAAACGGTTAAACTACATTATGTACGTGCTCTAAGTAATCAGACGATTTATTTTATTAGAATAATTTAATGGCCGTTTGCACTAGTGAATAGTGAATTAAGGAAAAATTGTAAGTACACGTAGAAAAATTGAGACTTTAATATTTAACCATTTTTTGCAATGACTAATGACTATGATGGAAAGTGAATTGACTATGAAACATTATTGAAGATTTAATAGAAATGCAGCTACACTGCCTTTTATATTTTATTAATTAATAATAAATAATAAAACTTTTCAGAAAGTTGATGAAAAAGTATAAGTAGGTATACTTTTTTTATAAATTATACAATATTCTGCACATAAACAAAAGGATTAAGTCTATAGCTTACTTATTATGATCGCTTACGTACACTTATCTTCGTTATCAAAATAGCTTAGATTAGTTTTACGATATTGGACTTAAGTCATATAAATCCATTATCAAGAAAGGAGCATTCCACGTAATATAAACTTAATTCCACAATGTTTGTTGAACTATCAAAAGACATCATTAAGAAATCTTGCCTTTTAAATAAACAAGAACGAAAGTGATTGTTGTTATAAAAGATAGTTTTAGTGGAATTTTAAAATAGGTATATACCTGCTCACTGGAAAAGTTGACCAGATATTATATAAAACTCCGCATCCTCTGAAAAATAACCCTCTGATCGAATCTTTAGTCAGTTTTCAATAAATTTATTAGTGGGGTTTATTTGGAGAAGTGGTGAAGCTTCGAAGCAGGTTCTGGCCAAATTATTATTCATTTCTAAACCAACTTTAGGCAGCTACAGTAACTTCAGATGAAATGAGCCCACTTTTCAAAAAGATTTTTCACCAATTTGACAAGGTCAAGAATAGTAGAATCAATCTCCTATACACACAAAAATTTATTTTTTGGTACCACCCTGAGGTTTAAAAAAACTGTCTTGATAACACCGAGCCTTAATTGCAAATCCCAATAAAAAGTACATATCTATTAAATTCGAGAAAAATGGGTCCGGTAATTTGGTGGTTCATCTTTGTGTGTCTCGTCGTATTAATCACCGTCTTGTCACTCCATCTCTGTTGCACCGTATATCAAGATAATTTTAGAAACAACAACAAAACAAAATCTATCACTTTGAATAAGTACAAGTTTGCGAGAACCGATGTGGAAGATTTGACCAGAATGGAGAATTTTGAAAATTACAATCCAAAAATTCAGTTTGTGAACGAGGTTGAAAGTCCTTCAGTATCCAAACCCAACACTCCTAGAATGAGTAGGCAAAGGAAAGGATCCTTATTACCGGATATACATGAAATAAGTGATTACAGTGTTGAGGATCTTATCAGTGAAAGTCTGGCAAGGAGAAATAGTGAGGTTTTGCCTAGAAGATTCAGTTTGATCACTGAAGGTAACAAGCATTTATTTTTTAGCGATTTATTTAAATTACAGAACGTTTTAGGCATGCGAAAAAATAGCTCAGCAGCACTACCACGTAGATTCAGTCTCAAATCAGAAGCTGGCAAAAGCTGCGATACCTTGGAATGTTTGGACCCTATCACAATTGAAACCAAAAGAGATATTAATAATATTGAAGAAGAGGCTCAAAAAATTGATAGCGAAATTGACTATTTCCTAGGGGCGTCGAGAAATTTGAAATTTTTTGAGATCAATGAGAAACTCATAAGATTGAGTTTGGCTTTGAGCGATCTCGACTGTACTAGTGAGGAGTTGAGAACGTTGAAGAGGGCAGCACAAGGTTACATCAATGGGTGCAAGGAAAAATTAAACAATAAAGTAGTCTAATTAGTTTTATAAATACAATTAACGTGAGCTTTATGTTAAAGCAATCAATAAAAATGATAATAAATTATTTCTAGTAACCGGTTTATGTATATTCAAGTATTGATTTTGTTTAAAAGTGTCACATTACACATAAAATACCTAGTGTTGGAAAGTTTAAGTTGAGATTAAGTTAACTTCACTTCGATTCTTCCTGCATGGATGTCTTAAAAGTAATGAAAAGCTTTCCATCTCAATATGTACCTGATATAAGTATTAGTTTCGCAGTAATTTTGATGTGGAAAATGACTTTCGCGCACTAGTGCGAAATTTATCAAGTCTTGATGTCCAAAACATATAGGTAGTTCAGACGGCGAGAAATAGCCTGATACTTCCAGGAAAATCCAAGTAAATGGTAAAATAAACATCAAAAACCGTTATAATGTTATCAAATCATTATACTTTAATAGATTTCTATAACAACTACCTACCTATTTACATAAGAGTAGGTAGATAATGTCATACGCTTACAGAAAATATATTTTCCAAGCTCGAATACGAATAAATATGATGTAGAAAAATTCTATTCGGTGATGAATTGTTTTCGCTTTCTTCGTAATGACCATCTTATTCAGACTAAGGAGCTTCGGTGAAATTGAATTCGTTGGTATATATTTCGTGATAAGAATAATTAAGGGATGGTAGGTTCTTTACTGGTTAAAATAATAATTGAGGTGTTTGATTATCGTTTGCTGTCTGCATTGATTAGATGTATAGCCAATTCAAGGGGCGAAGGCAAAAGAAGACCAGTCCAAATGTCAACCTCATCTGCATCAGTGGTGGTTGGTACCAAACTATCCGATACACCCAGCTAGATAATAGACGGGGCTCTGACGACCGAATATCGGCGGGATAACAGTACCAACGGGAAATTAAGGAAATGAAATTCTCAGTACATCCCCTATCAACCCGCACTGGTCAGCGTGATAGAAAAGGCTAAAACCCTCAAACCTGAACCCAGAAGGAAAGTAGAAATCACAAATAGTCCTCAGTTCCCGGCAGTTCGCAAGTCTCTGACCAAGGTAACGGTTGGAGGGTGCTAAGAATTTCTGGGCGAGATTAGGCTACCAAGGAAAATGACAACTTCATCTGTCGAGAAAGTGTTGGAACTAGAAGAAGAACTTGAACAAATACACTGGGATGTAATCGGAATAAGCGAAATTCGGAAAAGAGGAGAAAAATAAATCCTACTGAAGTCAGGAAATGTGTATTACCACAAGTATGAAGACAACAGCTCTGTAGGAGGAGTCGGACTTCTGATAAATAGGCGACATGTACACAATATAATTGAGATCAGCAGCGTAAGTCCCAGAGTTTGCTTTGTAATATTGAAATTAAATAAACGATACAATGTCAAGATTATCCAAGGCTATGCACCCACATCCCAAAGTTCGGACAAAGATATTGAAGACTTCTACGATGACCTAACTCAAGCAATCTCAAGTCCTCCAGCGTACTTTACCATATTAGTCGAAGACTTCAATGCCAAACTTGGAAAGAAACAAAATGGAAATACCATTGGGCTGCCATGGGGTTGGAGAAAGAAACAAACGAGGAAATCTCTTGCTACAGTTTCTGTTCCACCATCAACTTACCATGTGCCATGAACACATTCTTTAAAAAAATGGACCAGTCGGGATTCGTATGACTAAAAACAAGATTGATTTCATTATTACGTCACGGACTTCAAATTAATTAATGATAATGATATATTAAGGAATTTTAAAGATGTTGTAATGTCCATGTACTTCGTTTTCAATGTATCTTGTTTTAACTCCTGTTGGAAACATGTTCCAACAATCATGCTATCTCTTTTTGATGGCAAAATATTTTTATACATATAAAGTTTGCAACACTGCAGCGTTGTCGTCATGTCTATTTTGTCATGTCTGTCAATATATTGCGCGCCATTTTTGTCATTGCAGCAGTGTAGCTTGGAGCTTGTCCACGTTAACAAGCATCCAGAAACCTTTTCACATTTTAATAAATTTTATAATCTAGCTCTGCCCTGTTGGGCATCTAAGCAAGCTCTGGCTTCTTGTCATCTTGTAGTAGTAATTGTAAATAGTGTAAATATTGTGTAAATTGTTGTAAATATAGTGTCAGTGAAAAGCGCGTGTGTTTTAGTTCCCTATCCAGTCGATCATCCAGTCCACCTAATTATACAGTCCACTAATTATCAAGTTATTTATCTTCCATTATGTGGTTTTGCACATAATTTTGGCCAGTTCGAGCCGGATACTGGATAGTTCGGAACCTAAAAGTGCTTTAAAAACCCTCAAAAAGTGCCTTTTTAGTGGTTATTGATTGTTCCATCGTGATTTTTGGCGCCATGTGATGCAAAAAATCAATCATCCACTGTGCAGTCTGCACGTGTCTCAAACAACGTTGGGTTCCACGTGCCACCAGCGAAGGTTTCCGCCGGAAGTGCGTAAGTAGAGTGGGGCGGAGCAAACAAACTTCACTTGTCAAATTCAAAAGGGTGCTTCTTTTTCTCGTCTGGTTCAACCCAAGTCACCCCGGGTGCAGTATCCTTGCTTGGTGCAATGAAGTACAGCCCCGGAGCAACGAACATGAAAGTGAGAGTTCACCACCCCGACAGCTTAACCTCAAATTAAATGTCAAACATTTGTTTACGTTTTGTTGTTTGTGTATTTTGGATTTTTGCAGTGAATTTGAGTGAATTTGCATTATTTTTGAAAAACTGAATTTTTCGCATTAATTATTGCTATTTTTTCATTATTTATTTAAAGGATGAACAATTATCCGTTTTTCGTTTTGTTAAGTAGTTTTTAAAAAAAAATCTAATTTATTAGGTAATTTTAAATTTTGTTTATAGATTTCTTTTGATATTTTCTTATTTTTTTGATTGTAAACTTTGTAAATATGGCTACCAAAAAGCAAATTGATAAATTATTGTCAAAGAAAAAGCAAGCAATCGACTCCATGGTTAGAATAAGTCGTTATATTTCCGATCACAAATCTGATCCTGACACTGAGTATAAAACCGACCAATTTTTAGTTCGGAAGGAAATATTGCAGGACAGTTTTCAAAAGCTTAAAGACATTCAAGTTGAAATTCTGTGCCTTGATGGTAACTATGATGATTCAATTGATGATGTAGAAACTCTTTTTTATGATGTCATTGTAAGTATTAAAAATTGTTTACCTAAATCTAATTTACCAGGACCAGCTAATACTAGTAATTTAGCAACTAATATTGCTCAATCGGTTTCAATTCCACCTACTCAAAGTAATAATTTTATTTCTGCTGCTAAATTGCCCCCAATCGAGATACCTACCTTTGATGGAAAAAATTTAACCAATTTCAAATCTTTTATCGATATATTTAATGCTGTCATCGATAAAAATCAACAGTTAAAAGATGTTGAAAAGCTCTTTTATTTGAGAAATTATTTGAAGGGTGAGGCTTAAAGCTTAATTGATAATCTGCCTCTAATAAATTCTTCATATCAAGGTGCCATAGATATTTTAAATAACAGATTTAATAATGAAACTATGATCATAAATTCACATATTTTTTCTATTTTGGATATTCCTGCCATACAAAAAGGTACAGCTCATGCACTTAGAGATTTTGTAAGTCGCATCAAGCAGCAAATTGGAGCTCTCAAAAACCTAGCCCAGCCTGTTGACAACTGGGACATGGTGATGATTTGTATTTTAAGTAGAAAAGTTGACCAATTTACCAACAGAGCCTATCAAATAGATCGTGATAGTTCCAAATTGCCGACTTTGAATGAATTCTTGGCCTATTTAGAAAATAGAGCTACAGCCTTAGAGGCAACTAGTAGTACCCCAGAGCATAAAACTAAAGAACAGGTTTACGGTTTATTAACAAAACAAACCAATGTAAAATGTCCCTTTTGTTCAATATCTGGACATAAACTGTATAATTGTAAAAAGTTCAAATCCGTACTAGTAAAGGATCGTATATCTTTTGTCGACAGACAGAATTTTTGTAAATTATGTTTGAATATTCATTCTGGAAAGTGTAAAATGTTGTTTCGGTGTGGTATGTGTCAAAAGGAACACAATACCCTGCTGCATTTGGACAAGCAATGTGAAAATAATAATTTTCCTACTGAACGCAGAGTCATGTATTCCAATGCCTCACAGCAAGAATCTGTACTTTTACCTACCTTAAAAGTAAAAATTAAATCTAATAAAGGCAAATATATTTACGCCCGAGGTCTGGTTGACACCGGCTCTCAGATTTGTTTAGTAACAAACAGTTTAGTTGAAAAGCTAGGATTAAAAGCCTTTAATAGTTCTTTGAATATCACTGGCATATCGGAGACTAAAACTAAAATTAATAAATCAATAAATTTAAATATTGAATCTTTGGTTTTTGATTATTCAAAAAACATAAAGTGTGCGCTTGTTGACACTATTACAAGCAATTTGCCTAATGTAAGTTTTGATATTTCAGAGTTTGAAACGCCTCGGAATATTCATTTGTCTGATGACAGTTTTTACCGCTCGGGACCGATTGATTTTTTATTGGGTGCAAATGTGGCGTTTGAAATTTTTCTCTCGGAGAAGCTTAAATGCAACAATATATATTTTCAAAACACCCTATTCGGTTATATTGTAAGCGGTGCAATTTCTGCTTGTGCAAATGTCACATGCAATTTTTTTGCGTTTCACGCGACCTATTCAGATCTTGAAAAAACCATGTCTCAATTTTGGGAAACTGAGAAAGTCCCTGAGATATTTCCAGAATATCCCAGCGAGCAAGAAGCTTGCGAGTCTTGTTTTCAAAATTCTCTTGAAATAATAAATAACCAATATCAGGTGAAATTGCCACTAAAACAAACTGACATAAATTTGGGGGATTCATTTTCAGTGGCTATAAAGCGCTTTGAAAACCTGGAAAAAAGATTTAGAGTTAATCCTGATCTTTTCTCACAATATAAGAGTTTCATGGATGATTATTTGAATTTAAATCATGCCAAAATTGTCAATTACCCTGTAGAGGAGTTAACTAATGGTTCGATTTATTTCATGGCGCATCACCCCGTTATAAGGGAAGACAAAAAAACCACCAAAC